TCCATATTTTCTATTCTATTCTATCTTCTATTCTATTCTATTCTATTCCATATTCTGTTCTATTCTATATTCTATTCTATATTCTATTCTATTCTATATTCTGTTCTATTCTATTCTATTCTATTCTATTCTATTCCATATTCTGTTCTATTCTATATTCTATTCTATTCTATTTTATTCTATTCCATTCCATATTTTCTATTCTATTCTATTTTCTATTCTATTCTATTCTATTCCATATTCTGTTCTATTCTATTCTATATTCTCCATTCTATATTCTATTCTATTCTATATTCTATTCTATTCTATTCTATTCTATTCTATATTCTATTCTATTCTATTCTATTCTATTCTATTCCATATTCTGTTCTATTCTATATTCTATTCTATTCTATTTTATTCTATTCCATTCCATATTTTCTATTCTATTCTATTTTCTATTCTATTCTATTCTATTCTATTCTATTCTATTCTATTCTATTCTATATTCTGTTCTATTCTATTCTATTCTATTCTATTCTATTCTATTCTATTCTATTCTATTCTATTCTATTCTATTCTATTCTATATTCTGTTCTCTTCTATTCTCTTCCTTTCCGTTCTACAGCCACCCAGAGTCGTGACTGCCGTAAGGCCAGGCCTCTAAGGGGCTGCTTGAAAGGGTCCCACTTTCGGAGACTTATAAGCTCCAGGGGATGGGTGGTGGGTGGGTGGTGGGTGAGCAGGAGAGCCCCTTTGAGTCGGCTTCTGCCGGTTGGGGCCTCCCTGAACGAGGAGCGCCGGCAGCATCCTGGCCAGGTGCCCTTGCCTCCTTCCTAGGGCTGAGGGGATTGGCTGGCTTCCCGCCTACGGTCGGTCGGACCCGAACTCGAGACCCCTTGCTTTCTAGCCCCCCCCCCGCCTCTGCCCCTGCTCCAAAGAGGCTCTCTGGGGCTTAGTCGCTGGCTGGGGGAAAAAAAACGAGTGAATAGTTCCGAATCCGAGCGGAGAGGGGACCCCGAGGCGAGCGGCGCAGATGGGAACGTTTCCCGGGGTCGTGCAGAATCCACTTTGGGCGGCCAACACCCCAGGAGACACACACACACCATTTGGGGAGGTCAGAGAAACGGGATGGGGGCGGGAAAAAAAAAGGAAACGAAAGGGAACCGTCACAGGTGCAAATGCTCGGCCGAAGCAGGCCTCGGATGCACCAGGCTGGGAAAAGGATTTGGGTCTAGATTGCCGATTGAGCCGGCACGACGTTATCCGGCCGGCAAACGTCATTTTTGAGATGCAATTTGGGCTTCACCCCCAGAGGTCTAATTTTCCGATCAGGGCTCCTCCGTTTTTCCCTTCCCTCCCAGTTCGATCGGAGTCTGACCTGGGGGGGGGGTCCCTCTCTCTCCCCAGCTGAAAAGGGACCCGGATCCAAGACAGGAGGCCGCAGCCGAGACCCCCCAAAGAGCAGCTGGAGGGGCTGGATTCCTGAAGAAGACCTGGGGGGGAGAGGGGGAGGACCGCATTCTTAAACCTGACATTCTCGGTGGCATCGGGTTCAAAAGATGGAAGCAAAGGAGGAGGGGAGCGCAGGACCCCCCCCCCTCCGAATGGCTTCTCTGGCGGGGATGGGGGGAGCCCCCCAGCAGCCCAGGAGGCGGTGGGCCCTCCACACGGTGGGGATGGGGTGGGGGCTTCATTTCGGTGCCCGCTGCTAGGAGGGGCCCTGCCCAGATCTTTTCTGTTGGCATTCAGCCTCAAGAGAGGGGGGGGGACTCCTGCTTCCCCTTCCCCACTCTCTCTCTCTTTCTCTCTCTCTCCTCTCCCTTTCTCTCTCTCTCCCTTTCTCCTCTTTCTCTCCTCTCCCTTCTCTCTCTCCCTTTTTCTCCTTTCTCTCCTCTCTCCCTCTTTCTCCTTTCTCTCCTTTCTCTCCCTTTCTCCTTTCTTTCTCTCCCTCTCTCCTCTTTCTTTCTCCTCTCCCTTTTCTCTCCGTCTCTTTCTTCTTTCTCTCTCTGTCTCCTTTCTCTTTCTCCTCTCCCCTCTTTCTCCTCTTTCTCTCCCTTCTCTCTCTTGCTCCCTCTCCTCTCTCCCTCTTTTTCTCCTTTCCTCTCCCCTTTCTCTCACACCTCCCTCCCCTTTCTCTCCCCTCCCTTCTCTCCCTCCCTCTCCCTCTTTCTCCTCTTTCTCCCCTCTCCCTTTCTCCTCTTTCTCTCCTCTTCCCTTTCTCTCCCTCCCCCTCTTTCTCCTTTTTCTCTCCTCTCTCCCTTCTCTCTCCTCCCTCTCTCCCCCTCCCTCCATCTCTCTCCCTTCACTCCCTCTCCTCTTTCTCCCTCTCTGTCTCTCCCTCTCTTTTTCCCTCTCTCCCTCCCTCCCCCTCATTCTCTTCTTTCTCTCCTCTCTCCCTCTCTTCTTTTTCTCTCTTCTCCCCTTTCTCTCTCCCCTCTCCCCCTCCCTCCCTCTTTCTCTCTCCCCTCTCTGCCTTCCCCTTTCTCTCTCCCTTTCCTTCCCTCCCTTCCCTCCCTCTCTTCTCCTCTTTCTCTCTCCCTCTCTCTTTCTGTCTCTCCCTCTGTCCCTCTCTCTCTGTCTGTCTCTGTCTCGTTCCAGGCCTTGGGCCTGGGTAGAAAAAGGCTCTCCATCCCTGGCTTGGCACAAGGGTCCTGGGCACAAGCCCCAAAGCGGGCTCTGCTTATTTCAACGGAGCTGTTAGGTTACGCTCCGGAGCTGGCAAGGGGGTGCGTGGTACGCACACGGGGGGGGGAGTGCCCCCTGCAAGGTCCTGTTTGCTGCCTTCACCCTGGCTGGCCCGGGGGGAGGCCGATGCCAAGAGGGATCCAGGGATCCAGAGCGTGGTGGGAATTATGGGCAGGCATTCCTTGGGATGGGGGAGGGGGGGCAACTAGAGCTTGCAGTAGCTCTCCCCCCTCCCCTCCCCCCCGGGGGGGGGGCTTTGGCGGAATCTTCCGGATTCAGGAGGCTCCGCCGGGCCTTGCGAGGCTGCCGGGCTGCATCTCCCCAGCAACGGAGATGGCATTATACAGTTCCCATGGAAACTCCGGCGGCGGCGGCGGCGGAGGCGCAGCAGCGGCAGCATCATTCGGGCAGGCGGGCAGGGAGCCGGCGGTGGCGCTTGGCAGCTTCGCGGAGCTGCGGCGCTCTTTGTCTGCCTGCCTGAGCGGCCGGGCGAGGGCTCCGGGCTCCCGGGGAGGCGCGCTGCAAGCCCGGCGGCGGAGCCCACCTTCCCAGCGCCCCAGGACCGGGTGGCGGAGCCGGGCGGGCGGCTGGCACTTCCGTGCCCGGCCTGAGAGGCACTCAAGAGCCGGAGAGCGGGGCTGAGGCCGGGCGAGGGCTGCAGCAGCCCCGCCGCCCCCGCCGCCCCCCACAACAGCGCAGCAGCGGCGGCGGCAGCATCAGGGTAAGTCAGGGGCTGCTCCTTCCCGGGAGACCCCCGGGGTCGGCCGAGGGAGGGCGGCTGTCCGGGCCCCGGTGGGGATCGCGGCACCGAGGGACGGGGCTGCCGGCGGCAGCCTCGGCTTAAAGCGCCGCCGGTGCCGGAGAGCCGCTGGCGCTGAATGCCGACGGCTGGCGCTGCCCCGGGCCGGGAAGCGCCGAGCGCCCGGCCAGCCCTCCTGGCCGGCGCTGCGGAGCCCGGAGGGGACGGGGAGGTTCGAAGCCGGGGACCCTCCCAGGCGGAGCTCCGCCTTAGCCATTTGGACCCCGCCTAGCTCGGGCCCCAGCCAGGGGGAGTCTCTCCTCCTCTTCCTCCTCCCTCCGAAACAAAAGGCCCGGCACCTTTTCTCTAGCCCCGAACCTCCCCCGAGCCCCCCCCCGCCGCCGCCGCTTGAGACGGAGGACCCCGGGGTGGGTAGAGACCGCGCGCGGGGCTGCCTGCCCCTTTCCTGCCCGCTGCTCACGGGGACGATGCTCTCGGTCGGAGCCTGCCGCTGCCCCCCCCCCCGCTTGGAGAGCCCAGCGGGTGGACCGGGGGGGGGTGAACCAGTCCTGGGCGGGTCGGGCCCTCGGCAGTAGCGGCGGCAGCGGCGGCAGCAGCAGCTGAAATTCTGGACGGCAGCCCTTGCCCATCCGCCGGCCTGGGAGGGGTGGGGAGCGCCCCTTAAGGTAGCACCCGGCAGTCCTGACTCCCCTCTGGGTCGTTTGCCCAGACAACGGAAGGCTGAAATGCTGAGACGCCTCCCGGCACTCTTTCTGCTCGTCGCGTAAGGCCGTGTCAGCCACCCGGGGCGGGCTGCCCGCCTTTCAGCGGAGCCGCCCCGGAGCCAGCTGCTGCCCCGTGGCTTCAAGGGAAGCGGGCTATCCCAAGAGCCCCCTTGCCCCCTCCCCCGGTCAGGTGGACAGAGAGGTTGCGGGGGGGGGCTCCCTGATCTCTCCGTTGCCTTTGGGAGATTCCTGGCTTTGGAAGGAATAAGGGGGGGGGTCCGTCTGCTCAGATTTGGGTAGAATGGAGGGAAGCTCCCTCTGCGGGGGACGGCGTGGGGGGGGGTGTCCCAGCTCTGGGCCCCGGTGTCCTTTGCAGCGCGGGGGGGGGGGCGAGAGCGGGTCCACCCAGGTGCCCATCCTGGCATCCGGTTCCTAAACTGGCCAGCTGCTTTTTACATTCTTGGTCCAAGATGACCGACCCGGGTAAAACGGTGCAATTTAACCTGGTGTCAAAACACGTACACACACACACACACACACACACACACCACACACAACACACACACGGTATATTGTTTGCGTGGGAGGTCCGCCGGACAGGTGAGGATGGACAAACACGTTGTGCCTCAGGCCCGGAGGGGGTTATATGCGATAGTGTGTGTGTGTGTGTGTGTGTGTGTGTGTGTGTGTGTTTCTGCTTGCTTGCCCTGTGCAAATGGCCTCTTCAGAGCCAAGCTGGGGGGGGGGGGAGGGGAGAGAAACGGTCCCCGCTTTCTCCCCCCTCCAAGGTTTGTACTCATCCAGCATCCCCCCCCCCTTTTTTTCCCTTAAGGGAGATCCTGGTGGATCTCCAGTTTCACTTTCTGCACCTGAGCAGTACCTGCCAGACCCATCCCTCCCTTGGTGCGGCCTTTGCCGCCCCCTACTCAAAGGGGCCGGGGCCTCCCCCCCCCCAGGCCCAGCAGGAGACGGGGCGGCAATCCCGGGTCTTCCCAGCAGCTGGAGCTCCCCTCGGTGGGGAACGGGGGGGGGGGGATCCGCACAGAGGTTTCCGTGGCCCTTGGGAGAAACCCGGAGCGTGGGGCTGCCCCCCCTCCCCCAGAGAAGGGAGGGAGCGGGGGGGGGGCGACCCAGTTGGATGGACCACAGGAGCGGAATTCCTGGCTGGGAAGGATGGGTCCTTGCAAGTGATGGCCAGTGCTGACAGGGGCTGGATGAATGGGGGGGGGGCTTTTGCTATAATGCTCAAATAAAAGGTTGGGGAGCCTGGATCCCAGCACACGTGTGTGTGTGTGTGTGTGTGTGTGTGTGTGTGTGTGCGCGTCTGTCTCTCTCTCTCTCTCTCTCTCTCTCTCTCTCTCTCTCACATACTCTACTTGGTATCAGTTGGGTAGGTGGGGGGGGTGAGTTTGTCCAGGGACAGGATTTATCTTTAGCAGGTTTCTTTCTTCTTTTTCTCTGGACCCCCCCCTTAGAAAAGGGCATCTGGGCCAACCTGGCCAGCCCCCCCCCAAGCTTTTTCATCCTTGGAATCGGAGCCTTCTTGGTCCAGCCAACTCTATCTGGGACTTAGTGGAGGGCTGGTTTCCCCCCCCCCCGCGGTTACCTTTTCCTCCCGTTGTTGCCAGCAGTGCCTGCCTTGGGGGGGGGAGGGGAGGCAGCTTGGGGTCAGCACGGCCTTCCAGGGGAGAGAAAGGAGCGGTGCCAGGGGGCAGGACTTATCCTTCCTTAAGCCCCTAACCTGGGTGGGGGTCTGCCTCTGGCCCAGTGGTGGGATTCAAATAGGGGAATGACCGGTTCTCTGCGTGGATGCCGCTTCCGGAAGTTCCTTCTGGGCCTCCCAGTTCTGCCGAAGGGGTGCGGCTGAATCCCACCACTCTATCTATCTATCTATCTATCTATCTATCTATCTATCTATCTATCTATCTATCTATCTATCTATCTATCTATCTATCTATCTATCTCTACCTGCCTACCTACCTACCTATCATCTGTCTATCTACCTACCTACCTGATAATATCTGCTATCGACCATCTCTTTCCTATCTCATCTAATCTATCTATATCTATCTGCTATCTATCGATTATCTATATCCATTATCTATCTGTCTATGCTATCTCATCTAATCTATCTATATCTGTCTATCGATTATCTATTTGCTATCTATCTCATCTATATCTATCAACTGTCTATCATCTATCTATCTATTATGTCTATCTATAGATTATCTTTCTCTATGCTATCTCATGTAATCTATCTTTCTACTGTATATCTATGTATTTATGTATCTATCTATTATCTATGTCTATCTATCTATCCATTATCTATCTGTCTATGCTATCTATCTTATCTAATCTACCCACCCACCCACCCATCCATCCATCCATCCATCCATCCAGTGGTGGGATTCAAATATCTGAGCAACCAGTTCTCTGCGTGGATGCCGCTTCCGGAAGTCCGTTCTGGGACTGGTGGGCAACAAAACAGGAGCCCCCGGTTCTGCCAAAGTGGTGCGAACTGGCTGAATCCCACCACTCATCTGGGCCCCGGCCGCCCGCTGGCTCCCGCTTTCAGGGTCGGCCTCAGGAGAGTCGGGAGGGGGGGTTCAGGGGGAGGGTGTTTCCGGGAAACTGGACAGGTTGAAGGAAATCTCCCCCCCCCCAGTTCGAGAGGGGCCTTGGAGGAAAGGAGAGGCGTCAGCACCCAGCGCTGGGTTCCGTTCCTGCGTTTTGCCAGTCCAGGAAAGGATCTGCTGGCTTCAGTCTCACCGCAGGGGGAGCGCGTACATCTTGGTTAGGATCTCGGGCGGGGTGGGGGCTTCTCCCTGTGTGGTGCCAACCCATCGGATCCCACGGGGGCTCATCTTTTCTGTTCCAGAGCAAGCGGGTCAGAATTCCTAGTCCTGGGCCTGACACCCCCGCCCCCCCAAAACTTTCCATTTGTTTTCAATCCGAATAGAGCTGGAAGGGACCTTGGAGGTCTGCTAGTCCAGCCCCCTGCTCCAACAGGAGACCCTAGACCAGTGGTTCTCCACCTGTGGGTGGGGATCCCATTTGGGGTCGAACGACCATTTCACGGGGGTCGCCAAACAACGCCGTCCGCCATTTTTTCCCTCCTTTTCCTTAGCTGTACTCCTCCCTTTTATTCTATTGGCTTTGGAAAGCCAATCGAAGAGACTCTCTTGAACAGAGTCTAATTCTATTGGCTTTCCAAAGCCAATAGGAATTGTCCAGGCTGTCTCTGCCCTGCTGAGCACGCCAAAAGTCCCATTCTGCAAACGGGGCTGCACCCGTTGAGTAGTCCTCGACTTACGACCGGTTGAGTAGTCCTCGATCAATCAATCGATCGATCAATCAATCAAGAGAGCCGAAAGGGACCTCGGAGGTCTGCTAGTCCAGCCCCCTGCTCAAGCTGGAGACCCTTTAGATCATCCCAGACACGTGACTGTCCAGTCCCTTCTTCCAAACCTCCAGTGACGGAGTGCCCACGATTTCTGGTGGCTGGCTGTTCCGCTGGTTAATTGTTAGGGCAGATCCCACGATGGGAGACCAGCAGCCTCTGGGAGCGAGATGGGGGGGGGAGGAGAGGGCAAGGTGCCCCAAAGGGCATGAAGGGGCTGCAGTCTCCCCCCCCCACAGAGCAGGCCAGGGAGGGCGGAGGGGCTCCCGATCCAGCTCCCTCTACGCCAGGAGCCCCACCCCACTCCAGGCCAAGCCCTCCTCCCTATCAGAGATGGAGGGGGGGGCAGCACTTCCCCCTGTGCTGGCACAGGCTGCCTGCTTGTGGTATGACTGCTTCTCTCTCTCCTTTCTCTCCCTCCTCTCCCAATTTTTCCTTTCTCTCCCTTTCTCTCTCCCATTCCTCTTTCTTTCTCTCTTCTCTCCCTTTTTCTCTCCTCTCTCCTCCTCCCCTCCCTCCCTCCCTTGTCTGCGGTCACATTTCTTTCCCTCCCTCCCTTCTCTATCCCTTTCTCTCCTTTCCCTCTTCCTCTCCTCTCCCTTCTCTTCTTTTCTCCTCTCCCCTCTCCCTTTCTCTCCCGTTCCTCTTTCTCTCTTCTCTCCCTTTTTCTCTCCTCTCTCCTCCTCCCCTCCCTCCCTCCCTCCTCTGCGATCACATTTCTCTCTCCCTTCTCTTTCCCTTTCTCTTCTCTCCCTTTCTCTCCTCTCCCTTCTCTTTTCTCCTCTCCCTTTCTTTCTCTCCCTTTCTCTTCTCTCTCCTCCTTCCCTCCCTCCCTCCCCTGCGATCACATTTCTCTC